TCTGAATTCCCTCCATCAATCAATCAATCAATTCAATACCCTTTTTTGGTTTCATTTCTAAAGAACTGGGCTGTCTCCAACCTGCCTGGTCTCTTTAACCCCAAACATTTGTAAGGGGAAAAGCAGCAGGGTTGTTATGTAGTGACAGAAAGGCACACTGCACATGCCCAGGAATCTTTACACTGGCCGTATGCATTCCGAAGCAGAAAAATAAAAAGGAAGAATGCAAAGGAAAATAGTTCCAGGGTTGAGCCTAGTTTGGTGACGGAGATAAAAGACCCATCTTGGTAGTTACACCAGGCAGAAAAGATGTCTGTTCTTCTTGTTTCTCCCACCTGTATACCACAGATTTCCAATCAATTTGGGGTGAACAATGGGAGTTGCATTACTACATTTATGCCCATATTGTAGCAGGAGTAACAGGGTCAAATAACCTCTAGGACTGAATCTGCTGCAGGAGAAAAAACTCGACAGAATTTATTACAGTGTCTGTGAAGGTTTTGCAAGATTCCTCCTAATGCAGTAAAGAGCAGAACAGAGGGGGACCCATCTCAGTGATGCTGTATTTAAAAAGGATCCTCTGGTCCTCTTGACATCACTGGGGTCCAACCACATCTGGACAGCGGGCTTCCACTGTTGATTGAAAAGAGGCAAGGATTCTTCCTAAATGAGCTTTGCTCCTCACCCATTCCTTGAATGTAAGTCCGCAATCCTGTATTCACTTGCTTAGGAGTAAGGCTCATTCAGTACAATGGGCTAGATTCAGACTGAGTCATAAACCCACTGAAATCAGTGGGGCATATGTTGTCGTGGCTGACTTAAAACCCACTGATTTCAAAAGGTCTACTGTAACTTGACTAAAGGCACAATCCTTTGCACCTTCAGACAGACAAAAGGCCAGCAGTGCCTATCATGCCCCAGACAGCCATGCTGGGCATTGTTGCCCCTTCTTCTGTTCATATGAGATGGGTCAACTCATCTTCCTTTATGAAGCCACAGCCTTGTACTTGGGTGGGCTGAACGGTCATGGGCAGGACGTTTTGGAGGGCTTCAATCAGAGGGTCAGCATAAGCTGGAGACAACTTGATGGCACATAACAAGAGACTTCTGTTCACACTCACATAGGACGGTGCCCTTAGTCTGGGTCAAACCCAGGAAGCGTTCCTTCTGAGTAAACATGCATAGGGACACGCTCTTATGTTTCACCAAACTAAACCAACAAGATTTATGTCCAAACGTGTGTGTAGGATGGGAAAAGGTTAGGGAATTTAGTTTCCAGCTCTGGAGAGGTGAGGATGCCATGAAATCTTACATCACTAGCTTCTGATTTATGGACAGTAGGTCATTTCAAGAGTGATGGGAAGAGGAAGATGACAGCACTCAAGCCATACGCCTGACATGAAAACACTGCCTCTTAACTCCAGATATTTAAGAACAGTAAAATTATGAGTGGTGAAAGGAAGGCAGTCCTGTACATGTTCAGAGACTGTCTCTCTTCCTTTTGAATTCTTGAGTCTTAAAGCGGAGTCCTGAGAGGAAAGCAAGCCTTTACGAGCTTCGGCTCAACCTATGACCATTTGGTCAAGCTTTATCCCAGGGAATGCAACAACAAGTTGGAGCTGCCCAGTTAAACCTTAACATCTGTCAAACTTGCATTTCTCTCCCCCTCCCCTCCTGCACCCCAATTTTGTCTCACTCAAAATTATCAAGCACTGCCTGATGATCCTGCCATTTCTATTATTCATCTCTTTGATACAAACTGGTTTATTATATCGGAAGGAACTCAGCAGCTATTTAGTCCTACTCTACAAAAATCTCACCAGCTCTCCTTACACACTCCTAGACTTTCCAAGAACCACAAAAGTTTCACACAAGATCTCATGAAGGGCTTTGGGACCATTTAGATCAGGCATGGACAGAAAGGAAATGGGGAGCCACGAACAAATCTCTGGATGAATTGCAGGAAACTGGAATGGTTTCTGACCACCAAATTTCCCTCGCTCCCTACCCCAAACTAGAAATCCAAAATGAAAAAAGTTGGGGCCAATCAGGCATGCACCTTTGTGTGTTCAGGGCCCGAATCTCTAGGCTCAGAACATGCTCAGAGACCCCTTGCCCATTATTTCTCTGAGACTGTTTTTTGGCCTTGGCTTTGTTCGTAGATCTTGGGGTTCTGGTAAAAAACAAAGTAGATCCAACATGCCTGAAGCCTTCCCACCTATACTTTAGATGACGAAAGTCGGCTTCCTGTCATACCTGAATAATTGCCTCATCCCCTTCTTCCCGCTTATCATCATCTTTAAGATAAACCCTTGAGAGGCTGTGTTCGCTTAGGGCCCGAGTCAGTGACAGGTAGGAAGGCTTCCCTTCCTCAGGACACTTGCCAATCTCCCTCCAGAAACATCAGAAGTCATGCCTTGCTTGGGTTACAGCCAAACTTGATAGGACCAGAGATCATGACTGGGTTCAGACAACATAAGAAGTGAGCGTGTGTTGTTGTTGGACTGTGTGTTGCCATGCTGTCTGAATCCAGCTGTCCTAGCAAGCCATGGCATTGTAAGCACAAACAACCCACAAAGAGAACCCATGGTTGTTGTTGGGTTCTGAAGTGTGGATTGGTCTCCACGGTTTGTTAGGATCAGACAAAAACGTAATCCACGTTGTCAAGAACAATGCGCAATTGAATGGCAATCCACAACCGACCCAAGCCATCTGTGACTTAGATATGACTGTCATCTTGGAAAACAAATGTCTGCGTCAGCTGTGAGGAACCCTTTCCAATTCACAACAGGACAATAGCGCTGCGGGGAGAGGGGGGGGTTAACCCTTTCTTGTACACTGTCTTCCTGATTAAAATGTTCTCGTCATCCCCACAATCACGAAAACAAAAACAAAGCACTGAACTGTCATAAGGGACCTATAAATTTTGCCTCAGAAATATGTTTCAAGGGAAAGGGTTAATCTCGTAACTTCTCCAGTATCATACTCTTGACCTGAAACAGGACCACAGTAAAAAAAATACTAAAACTGGAAAAATATCCCATCTGGTTTGGTACTCAGGGAATAGGTGGTTAGCTGTGGTTTTAATTTATGGTATAATCATACACAAGTTTACTTAGAAGGAAGTCTCACACCGCTGAGTGTCCAACCTGGTGCTCTCCATTATGTGTGGGGCTGCAGCTCCCAGCATTTCAGTCCCTCTGTCTGCCCGGTCAAGTCTCCTACCAGCTAGACCAGCACAGCTAATTAGGGGCTTTGTGGTCCAACACACCTGAAGCACTCCAGGTGCAGAGGGCTCAGAGGCAGAAGACAGACTGGATAGATGGATGAACTGGCACTCTTGTGCAGCCAAGCTTAGCTCGCCATACTTGGGTGAGGTGCTCCCTCCAAGGATACCACGTGCAGAAGAGGAGAGAACTACTGCGCCTTTGAATCACTGCACAGAAGGAATTTCAGGCAGAGCTCCCACCTCTGCATTTCTACTAAAGATGGATGAGCTTCCTCCTCTTCAGCAGCTGGTTATCCTTGCTACTTCTGAACCTGAGGTGGGCAACTGGCAGCCCTCCAGATTTTAGGCCTACAATTCCCATCAGTCTCCCGACAGCCAATAGGGAGAGATGATGGGAGTTGTTGGCCAACACATCTGGAAGGGCACAAGTCCCCCCGCCCCGCTCTGAACTTTAGCTTCCTCCCCAACAGGTAAATCGAGAAAAACATAGAGCTGCTTTGCAGGGCTGTTTGTGGCTCCTTAAAACCACATACAGATGAGGAACGCAAACAGCTGCACTTGGAGAATCGCACCGTCTGCTGTCCAGCAACTAGGCGCCTGCGGTCCCCAACTGGTCTGCCGCTCGCTCGTGTCTCTCCAGAAGCAAGCAGTGGGTGCCTGATCTGGTGCCGCTCCAGCCCATCTCCTCCGCAGAGTCACCCCCTCCCTCCGCAGCAGCTCACTTGGCTTCAGGAGACGGGGGGGGGGGCCGCCAACGCAGACATTGCATTGCTCCACCCACAGGTTTCCTGCAGCAATTCTCCTCTGCCTCTCTGGAGTCAGCGCACTCCTCGGCATCTGTGGGCTTCCGCCAGATAGGAGTAGGCTGGTGGCAGCAACGGAGCGATGTGGGCAGGGAAAGAGATTTGGCACCTTCATCTCTGTGAGCTCCCCAGATTACTCCCCAGCTTTTGATTGGAATCAGCTGTATCAACGACAGAACATGCTTTCCTTTTCCCGGCAACAATTGTTTCACAAAACACATCAGCCCGTGTCTCCCTGACGGTGACCTAAGTCCTGGCTGTTACTGCTCCGTGCGCCCTTCCTTCCCAAGTCCTTGCTGTGAATGATGTCACGGAATGCGCACAAACACTACAACTGCGAAGGCTGAAAAGGCCAATCTTGGCACACTTACAATCACCCCAGCAGCTAAGAGAGAAAAATGAAAGACCAGCTTGGTGGCAGGTAACCTCCTCCTCCCTCCCTGACCCCCCCCCCCACACACACAGAGCTAGAAATAGTAGTTTGTGGGGAGAGAGAAGTCTGAGGCAGTGAGGAAGACTAAACAGCAGATGGGGAAAAACTTCACACAGAAAAGTGGGGAAACGTGGGGGAAAATTAGAGTGGGTGGGTTAATTTCACAGAGGTTCAAAATATCCACTCAGATATTTAGCTGCAGGAATCTACTTTGATCTGGGCCAAACCCAAAGGTAATCATTAAATCAAAAAGAAAAGCTCCTATAAAGATCAAGCAAAAGCATCCAAGCACCTAGAATTATTTTTTTCTTGTTTTCCTGCATGATATATGCAACTTGCTTCTGTTCCCCCATTCCGGTGGGATTTTCCTTAACTATTGTTAGCATCCCTCCTTCCCCTCCCCAAGGCAGTCTCTCCCAGATATTTTGCTGGGGTTTTGTATACATTTTGTTCTCGCATCTGCATTTCCCTAAACATAGGCAGAAGGAAAAAAAGAATTGCATGTTCCCTTTCTGGTTTGTTGCTGAAGATCTACCTGAGTCTGGGTTAGTCCGAGCTGTGCAGCCAACTCTGCCCTCTCTGGCAGCGCCAGGTACTGCGCCTTCTGGAATCTCCTTTGCAAGGCAGCCAGCTGGTAGCTGGAGTAAATTGTGCGGGGCTTTCGGATCTTTTTGGGCTTTCCATTGACCATCCGTACTTCTGGTTCAGGTTCTTCTTTCACTGAAACTGGAGAGACAGGATAGGAAGTAGAAAGAAAGCATAAACTCAGGTTGGAAGGAATAATATCCGAGTCAAGAAACTGAGTGACTAGTTGGATTAAGGCCAGAAAAGAGATTGCACAGGACTCTTAAGACCCCGCTTTTGTGCAATTTGAGCTCCCATAACAGTGTAGAAAGCCAAAAAATATTTCAGTAAAAGGGTCCAAATCCCAGTCCCTGCTTGCTGTTAGAGGAGAATGCACGAAACCCCGATACTGAGAACAATAGACGGAAGCTGGCTCCATGCATTTCACGGATCGACAAGCAAACCAGGCCTCCAAGAATGGCAATTGATTGTGGCTTAGATCCAGGTGTAGTCAAACATAAAGTAACCGCATTGAAATCCGTGGGTCTTCACTTATTCAGGACTGCAATGTCTGTTTTCAATGGATGTTTATCTTAAGTATGTCTGAAGCAGAATCCAACCCTGTAACCCCAAAATAATGGTGATCTCCAAATGGACTCCCTCTCTCCCTGTCTGTTGTAATTTTTGTTCAGCTGTGCAACACCGACACCCAATAAGGCATCTAATGTCCTGGTAGTTTGCAGTAATGTGGAAGGCAGACATATACAGATGACCCAAAGATCCTCCATGCAGACCTCTGACTAGCTACTTTTTCTCGAAATTTACACAGCACCAACAATATGCTAGGTGACACACACAGACATCTATGACGCGACAGTCCCCATCCTGTTCTTAGTTACTTTTCTTATAATCTTCATTGTTAGCACCAGATCCACTGTTCAGTGCCAGGTGGGGTTGGCTAGATCCAGAATTCACCATTTACTGGGAACATTTCATGCGAGAGACATGCAGGGTAATAATCCTATGCATGTCTACTCAGATGTAAACTCCACTGAAGCCAATGGAACATGCTCCGGGGTGAGTGTGCATAGGATTTATGTGTGCATTGGCCTGATTAGTCAATTCCCCTCTCTGGAGTTTGTACCTCAAATTGTTGTCCACTCCAGCATTCACTGTATTGTTAGGTAACAGAATCAGTTTTGGAGTTCTCCACAAACATTGGAAAAAAACGATGAGGTTCAGGCAACTATACCATCCTACTCAGAAGACAACGGGGAGAGGGAAGAAGGCAATAAAAGGAGATCAGAAGGTAATTAAATGTTGCACGATCTCTACTTGCCTGATGTTTTTCATTTTTCCCTGTGAGTGGCTTAATTCTGTCTATTCTATTTCTATTTGGTTATTATATAGAATTCTGTATTCAGTTCCACTCCTCTATTCAGTTCTAATTTTTACCTGATGTTTTTAACATAACCCAGTTTAACTGGGAAACCGTTCGGCCTAGCTGGTTTTGCTCTGCCTGATCTCCTGGTTCACAAATCCAACTCCTTCGTTCTTCCGCTTTGACCTGGCTCACCTTAAAAAAAACTGCCTTCATTATTTCTCTGTCCCATCAGATTCTTGATATATTTTTTCCCCTCTCTCTTTCCTTGGCAGGAAGCATTGTCCGGTTACGTGGGGGCAGTCGGAACCACACAACCCCCATGTTCCCTTCCTGAAATATTTGTGGGGAGCGCGGGCGTGAAATCTAGGCCTCAGATGGCCAAGCCAGCATCTTTGGATTATCAACATACAAAATCTACACACTAGGATTTGTTGAAACTTTTCTCACCTGAACACCATTATTAGAAGCAAGCCCTGCTGACTTCATTGGAGTCATTTCAATGTATTTGTACCTTTCAAAGGTTCACTTCTACTCCTGTTCTTCTCTGTATTTTTTTTTTAATTAACAGGACTAAACTGAAAGTCCCACCCCAAATCACAAACTGTGAGTGTCTCAACATATGAGTAGAGGGGACAGCAAGTTCTACGTTGCCCGTGTGTGTTTATTTATTTTTGTGAAAGTGGGAACGAATCAGCTACTTGCAGAAAAATAAACAAGTAGAAGCTTTGGTGAGAGACAACCCCAGAACAAAATTGCAAATTTTTTAAAAAGTGAGGCAACAGTGATTTTGCCTCCCCCATCCCCAGCCCTACCTACACAAAAAGGTCACTATATCAGCCAAGATATAGTATTGTCCCAAGAAAAAAAGATTGAATTTTTCTTCCTTGAACAAAAGGAGGAATTATAGCTGCTGTTATAATAAACACTACAGTAAACTAGCAGTGCTATTTATACTTTGCAGCCAGCAAAAGACATCAGCTGGTTCATTGTATTTAATAAAATAGTGCATGAATAAAACCTTGGGGGTTCTGGATTTTATTTCTCAAATACACCGAAGAAATGGATGGAGAGGAGCCGATTCTTTCAATTATCTCCCCAAGAAGGGAACAAAGGTAGCCCATTAATGGATTCTTACAATCCAATTCTAGTCTTGTCTACTCAGAGGTAAATCCTATTGGATTTAATGGGGCTTACTTCTAGGAAAGCAGCCGTAGGGGCTGCAGCCGCAACTAGTTCATCAGAGAATCCCCCTCTCAAACACGAACCAAGAGTTGTGCAAAACTCAGAAGACTCCAACGCGGTCGTTGATTTCCGTGCAAGGATCACGTCTCCAAACAATCCCGTACAGGTTTTTTTTTTTTTTCAGATTTTCGAGCGGGGGGGCGGTATTGAATTTTGCAAGAGCGAGGAGAAAGTGGGTGGGAAATGATTTTCTCTCTTGCTACGTTTAATTGTCGCTCCATCCCCGTGCATGTGTGTCCGTTTGTGTCGCGCGTGCGTTTCTGGCGTCCCAGAAATAGAATCCCAGTTTCAGTTCATGAACACTTACGAGTAACTCTGTGGATGGCCTGAGAGATCCCTTTGGGAACTGCACGGACACGTAGCATCATTAAATCCATAAGTAAGAGCGGGGGGGGGGGCGCGTTGCGATAGACAAACATAAACCCCCCGTCGAAGACTTCATTCTCCAGAAAGCTTGGATGTCTAGTATGTTAGAGCCAAACTGAAACTGCGTCCAACTTTCCAGTTCAACCCAACTTTCTGGGAAGGCTTTTCCAAAGAAGGGAGCGAAAAGGAGATTCCCCAGAGGGGGCGAAAGGAGCCCGCATATCCCAAGAAGTTCTTGCGCCCCAGAAAAAGCACCGCAACACCCCCAGGCAACATCCCTTGCCGCCGCTCGCCCCCGATCCCGCCTCAGCGCCTTACCTGTCTCTTGGCTGGGCAACTGCTGCTCCCGGAAAGGCCCGTACTGCCTGTAGGAGGTGCTGTAGGGGTAGTCGGATTTGGGGGAGAAGGTCCCCGTGCCCCCGATCCCGTTGAGGTTGAACTGGGGGTGGTAGGCGTAGTGGTTCATGGGCTGGCTGTAGGGCTGGCTGGCGTAATACTCGTGCTGGTTCTGCGGGGCGCTGTAGTAGCCCAGGTCCGTGATGGACGACTCCGGGAGCGTGGGGGAGTCCTTGGTGGCCGCATGGCAGCTCAGCGAGGTGGAGATGTCCGTCAGGATGCTGCTGATCTTCTTCTCGAAGGAGCCGCTCATGGTGCGAGGCGCCCCGCCGGCGGTCGGTCCGCCGCTCGGCCAGGGAAGGGGAAGCCAACAGAGGCGCGTGCGAGGGCTGCGCGAGGGATCTGTGGGGCGGGGTGGGGAGGGGGTGCAAAGACACTCTCCACCTCCCGCTCTCCTCTTCCTCCTCCTCCTCCTCCTCCTCCTCTTGAGGAGGCTTACGCAGTCATTGCTCCAGTAATAGCTGCTGTTGCTGCTGCTGCTCCTGCCGCCGCCGCCGCCGCCGCCGCCACCGTCCTCCTCCTCCAGGGAAAATGTGTAAGAAATCCAACCCAGCCAGCTTGCTTAAGCCCTTTAATTAGGGAGCAGAGAAGGGTGGATGCTACATTCCGATTGGCTCCAGAAATATTGCCTTGCAGGCAAAACAGCCTCTCTTCCCCTCCTCCCTCCCTCTGCCTCTCTTTTTCTATCTCTCCATATTTTTTTAAGTGAGCGGATGAGAAATACGCGCACCCCCTCCAAAAAAAAAGAAGCACCCAAAGACACACAACTCCTCCTCCTCCTCTGCCTCCGAGCATGGAGGTAACACCCCAGAAAGGAGACTGAGGAAGAAACAGGGGGTGTCTGGATAGCCCCATGCCGCCACCCCCATACACATACACCCTGCTTGGGGTGGGGTTGTCTGATCTGGGGGGGGCGCATCAGTGGGGGAGAGGAGCAGCGGGCAATCTGTGGTACGTGTGTTTGAGGCATGTGCTGTTTACCTGCGCTAAGGTGCATTTCAGGTTTTGTAGCAAGATGTGGGGCCTTTTGCCTGTGGCCTGCCCAAGCACAGACCCGTTCCAGTCTGGCTGGTGGGAAGGCACAGTGGGAAAGTGTGAATCCCGTTCTCTTCGGAGATGGAGATGCAGGCACAGTGCAATTATATCACAGAGGAGCCTGTCATTTCGAAAAACAGCTTCCCCAGTTGTTTTTGTTGACCATCACGGCCGGGGTCATGGCTTTTCTGCTGGTTCGCTTCCCACTTTTCATCCAGTGTGGCTGTCTGGCTTCCCCAGTGTCCTCCCAACCCTTACAGGATGGCTGCGACACTTGTCCGTTTGCAACATGTTTGACAAATCTGCACCACCTGTGCCCCCTCCACCCACAAAATTCTGCTGAAATATGTCCGAAGTTCACTCGGAACCGAGGAAGCTGCCTTTGGTTGCATTCCTTGGCCCACTGAGCCCGGGATGGTCAGCACTGCCTGGCAGTGACCCTCCAGGGCCTGGCCACAGTTCTTCCTCCCTTCCTGGAGCTGCCCGAGGTGGGACCATCTCTGTGCAAAGCAGGTGCTCTGCCTCTGAGCCATTAATGCCCACGGGGCTTCCATCGCTCCTGCCATTTGAGCCCATGCATGCCCCACTCGCTCTACCACTTTCCGAGGCGGGACGCTTCAGCACCCCCATTTTACAGGCCAAAAACTGAGGCCCAGGGGGCAGGCTCAGGGATTTCATGGCTGGAGTTGGATCTCACCTTTTCCAGGAATCTGTTTCTGCTCACCTTTTCCAGGTCTCTGATTCAGCTGCCCCCATTGGTGTAATAGGAGGCAAAAGATCAGTCTTTCCACGCATCTGGAATGGGGCGCGTGTAAGGTGTGTGGGACTGAGGTACATGGACCTGTGTGTGTGCTTGTACAAAATTGTGTCTGTACATGTTTGAGCAGATAGAAGATGCCATGAGATCTCGTATAGATTCAAAAGTTAGCAAAAGTTTTGGAATCTGAGTTTTGAGAAGGTTCACGTTTGATTTTGATTTTTTAAAAGGGACTATTTGTTCACTTTTTTCTTTGAAGTGTTTGTATCCTGCTCCACAGGCTAAAGAGGCTCTCAGAACGGCTGACCGAGAGCATCATTTACATCAGTGAAATGAGACAGTCTCTGACTGCAGACCTATAATCTAAAAAGACACAATACACAAAGGAAAAGGAATGGAGAGGGAAGAGGAAAAACTGAAGTCTGTCAGCATATATTCCAAATCTTAAATATTTTAAATAGAAATGTTAAGTGTCTACTGCTGAACATCCGATCAGCAAAGTGTGGCCTTTTTCTACCTTGCTTGCTTTGAATTGCCTGAATCCAACAGTAGCCTGTGATTAGGAGTCTTGAAGAAAATTCACATTACAATGTAAGTTTGAAATTCTGCAGATATTTTTAAGAATGTTAGATATTACTTGAGAATCTCTGCCCAGCTGCTATAGAGATATCATTCCCTGTCATTAGCTATATTAGGGTGGCAGTACTAACAGCACTCTACTGTGAGTAAGCCCCATTGAGTATGATGGGACTTATTTCCACAAAGCAAATGGGCAGAAGACGGTGCCACAACACTGTATCTTGAGCCTTGTGCCAACAGTCCGGTCAGGATTCTCCAGCACTTGCACCCAGAAAGCTCTTCACTCCCTGCCCCCTTAAAATATTTCATTAAAACTATTTCATTAAAAATGGAAATATGTTTTAGGGGATGAGGTTCTGCTTCTGGTTCCTGAACCTTCTGCTTGTTCGGTGGGTAGGATGCGAAAGCACAGCCTAGGGGTGGCAGAGAAAGAAAGACGGAGGCAGAAGGCAAGGAGAGGAGAGAAACAGCAAGCTAAAGGGATGCGTGGGAGAGAAACAGCGAGGTCAGTGCCTTGAGAGGGAGAGAGGGAAGCAGGGCAGGGCAGGGAGCGAGATAGTGAGGAATGGGGCTGTGTGGAGAAATGGCAAAGCCAAAGGGGTAATTATGACTTGGGGGGAGGGGTTAATTGGTCCCAATCCTGAACGCTCCTCGAGTACTTGCCACCAGCTGTTGCAAATCCTTTGTGCTACTTAATCATGTTTAGCTTTCCAAGTGGTTTGTATTCCGTTAGGGCAAATACTGTAAGGATTGAGAAATACCCACTGCCTCAAAAAGTGGAAATACCCATACAAATGAGGAGTGACTGTCTCCCCACCCCTTGATTTTTTAAAAAATCAACGCGTATTTGTTAACGTTGACTCTAATAGTTGGGCTTGCGGCCTGCCTGCTCCTGTGAGCCGACATGTGTTCTGCCATCCATGCGGCCCTCGTGGCGAGGGAGCATTTCTCATGTGGGTGCAACGAGCCACAATCCTTTCTGTGATTCACTGGGAGCAACGAACGGGGAGCTACCCAGACTTGCACTTCCGAGTTTCTGGATATGCTTCTCTTTCCAACGATGCAAATAGGCGGCAGCTTTCTCACCTGCTTGGTAAATCTTTGGGATGTGACCTGAAGTTTGCGTCTCGAGCATCGAGGCTTCAAGATGCGCTGCAGGGGGGCGTGTGTCCGTGCAGAGCTATCGCTGTGTCTGTGTGCAGTGCAGGGAACTGAGACGCTACTGTGGTGTGCGGCAAAGAGCTCGAGCGGAGCGTTGTGTAGGTGGCTCGGCTTATGGTGTGGCCACCCGTGTGGGTGCAGGGGCGTTTAAACATGTGTGAGGGCAAAAAGTTCATTCCCTTGTGTGGATGTCTGAGGTTTGTGTGTGTGTGAACCTGCATGGGGGGAGGGGGGAACCTCTGGGTGAGTGGGTGTTTCAGGATGGTGACCACCGCCGACAATGCACAGACACATGCACTCACACACACGTGTGTGGGGAAATCACATGCAGTGCATTTAGGAGCTGCAACACATATCCAATAGGAGAGCAAACATGCAGCCCTCAAGTCACTGGCATGTCAAATCATGAAAAATTTCACATTGAACTTCCGTGCATTCCCTCCCCACACCCCGCCGAAGGTCATCTGGCAGAAAAGGTGGTTCCTCTTGTTAATGGTTCTGAAAGCAAAGTTGTGCCAAATTCTGGACTCAAAGGCTTGTATTTCCAACAGCCTTCATCCCTGGAGTATCCCTACCCAGGTGCCCATGATGACAATACTGTAAAATTGCCATTTTGGACACTTACTCAAATCAAAAGAATTTGGCGAGGAGACTCTCCATCTCTGTTCTTTGTTCGTCCTTCTCTAATAGAGGCGTCTCTCTTTGTAGAGGGAGTTTGAGTGCTTGGTTGAGCGCCACCTCATCACATGTTTTGGGAGACCTGTTCTCAGGGTGGACAGAAGATACTGTGGAATTTATTTATTTATTTATTTAGAAAGCGTCTATGCCGCCCCATTCGCCGAAGCCTCGGAGCGGCTTGCAACAATAAATAACATAATAACAATATAAAAACAATATAATGTTTGCTGGTGGGATCTCTGGGTGACTTGCCGTAGATCCAGAGAGAGTTTGGACTGCACAGTGGTTTAATGCCAGCAGCAGCAAAACAACTGTCCCTAAATTATACTGCTGATTTCAGGAGGAGAGCTTGGAGTGACCAAGAATGACTTCCTGTGTGGGGAGTCTATGAACTCCTGTCTATTCTGGTATAAAAACCAAATGCCTAGCTCAGGATCCTTTTGCTCTAAGTGTTTGTCTTTTGCATCAGGCCCTGGTTGCCGGATTGTGTAAAAGAACAAGCATGAAATTGAGCCTGTTAGCCTGAAATCTGTCCATTCCCGATCTAGTACATCCCTGATGCCTGTCCCAGTCCCAGAATGGGCTGTCCAAACATACTCCCTGCTGGTTAACATAAGGAAACACGCATGTTGTCCGGGAAGTCTTCACACACATGTGTGAACACATGGATATGGGTGTGTGTGTGTGTTGGGTCAGACAAGACCTGCTCCCATGACCCTTTGCAGGAATGCATTGAGTGCTCTTCTTGTTGAATCTTGGAGGGACAAATCTGTGGCTTTTGCAGTCTGTGCCCCCCTCCCCGTACTGCACCCCCACCAAAAGTTTCCCCTGTGGCTAAGCCTCTCCCCATTAAAATGCTGATTCTGTGTAGAACTGGGAAACAAAGAGACTGATAGAGCACAGTGACTTCAAAGTGAGCACCTGAATTTCCTTCTCCAGGTTGAGGCCTAACTCCAAGTCCATGAGGTTAGGCCATGGTTTTCTTTCTGCACTGGGGCAGAAGTGGAGCTGTCCCGATCTCCCTTACTTGGTAGCTGTGAGGG